TTTACTTGGATAGTCTTTCCACTTTGGAGTTTGCCTCTGGACAGAGTTTGCCTCAGGAGGGGTAGGCAAAAACAATGGGAAAAACAATAGTTTCTGGCAAAGCGCAGTAGCCCTACTCAAGCATTATGCCTGAAATCAAGTAACACTTGTAACATGGTGGTCATGTGAACACACAAGTAAGTTCTACTGTCTGCAGTTCTACCTAGAGGTCAGGCAGGCAGACACTGGTGTGCTCCAAACCAACATATTCAATGGGGTTTGTAGGTTTGCAGTGACTTGAAGATCTGAAGCAGCCACACACTTTGGAGGTCTGGGGTACGCCTTATAGTGTTGCTGTTAATGACTTATGACTTCTGATAAAGTAGGGCTCCCAATCAAAGAACTGTGCTTGTAAGCCTTGCTGTACACTTTCACTATGAATATGCAAAGATCTTCCTGACCTGGGGACCATGTGGGGCAGTGCTTACCTGTATGCCTCCATCCCCACCACATTTGAAGCCCTAAGCAACTTCAGGTCATAGCTCTTGAATAAGGCGTTAGTGTTCTCTGCTGATCAGTGCCTGTACATTCCCTTGAACTATAACAGAACATTCTAACCACATTACAAATGATGTAGGATGGAGCCCTGGCAGTTAAAGCAGTATCGAACCACCATCGATGCACAGTGTTGAAACATGGTTGCATGATCTTCACAGAAAGTTCATGCAAGGAGCTGCAGTATGGCTTTTTGCAGAATGCAGACTCATTGATCCCTCCACAGTAGGAGTGGCAGTTTACAATGCAAGAGCTACTGCTAGTTTTCCTTTTGTATACATGTAGACTGCCACAATGATGGACGTTTTCTTAGTTAATCATATGAGAAAGTCAGGCCAACAAATTAAAAACCTCTCGTACCTCTTGAGAAACTAGCCTCAGAATTTTATTTGATTCATCTTTTCTAGAACTGGTAATATGAGTCATAGAGAAATGTCATGCGGTGGGTTTGTGTTTTTTTTAAATTTTGTTTTAACTGTTGGTTGGATTATGAGATGGGAAGGTAGCTCTTTGAAGCACATTACTAAAGAAACGTGAGTGGTTTGTTTCACCCCATCCCCACCGAACAGCCTGGAGAGTTTTGTGGTCCTTGAGTCATCCTGCTGCTAGTGATAAGTATCTTAAGGGTTTGACATTCTAGTTTCAATCATTTTATCTCAGAGGATTTTAATATAAAGGCTTTGTTGTTTTATGCACATGAAGAACTTAGCCATTTCAGCAGAATTCCATTGCCTTGTCATCAAAACTGGATGAATTCCGTGATGATACCAAAACAAGTGCAGAAATCAGTCTGGAGTATAAAATTCAACTGAAAATGTCAAGATCTCATTTCATCTTTTTTAAAAAGAAAGGTACATTGCTGCTGTTACATACCATCAAGTCACCTCAGACTTAACAGTGACCCTATGAATGAGTGATCTTCAAAATGTCCTGGCTGCAACAGTCCTGCTCAGCTCTTGTACGCTGTAGGCCGGTGGTTCTCAAACTTTGGCCCACAGATATTGTTGGACTATCGAAATCCTGTAGTCCAGAAATTCTGGCCCCCGCAGATAGTGGTGATAGCTTCTGGTAATTTTAGTTCAAGATCATCTGGGGACTCAAGGTTGGGAACCACTGCTCTAGATTGTGGCTTCCTTTATGGAATCTGTCCATCTCATATTTGGGTCTTCCTCTTTTCATACTGCTTCAATGTTTCCCAACATTATTGTCTTTTATAGAGAGTCATGCCTTCTCATGATGTGCCCAAAATTGGACAGCTTCAGTTTTCTTGTTTTTCACTCCAGAGATATTTCAAGCTTGATTTGCTGTAGGAACCTACTTGTTCATCTTTCTGGTATTCCAGAGTATCCCCAATGCTCTTCTCCAGCACAATTTTTAAAATGAACCTTTTTTTCGGACAGCTTTCTTCGCTGTCCAATATTCACACCCGTACATAGTGATCAGGAATACAAGAGTGTTATTGATCTTAGCCATTGTCTCCAGTACAAATCCTTGTACTTGATAATCATTTCTAATTCCTTCATTGCTGCCCTTCAGAATCTCAATTTTCTGGTTTCTTGGCAGCAGTCTCCATTTGGATTGATAACTGAAGCAAAGTATACAAAATCTTTAACAATTTCAGTTTCTTCATTGTCAACATTAAAGTTGTGTAATTCTTCTGTGGTAGCAATTTCTGTCTTCTAAATGTTCAACTACAGTCCTACTTTGGCACTTGTTTCTTTCACTTTCCTTAAAAGTCATTTCAAGTCATTACTTCTTTCTGCCAGTAAAATGATGTCATTTGCATATCTTAAAATTATTGATGTTTCTTCCACCAATTTTTACTTTTTAAATAAGGTATATCATACAGAAAGTCCAGCTTTCTGTATGATATACCTTATTTACAAACTGAACAGATAGAAAAGGAAGCAATTAAAACATTTCAAGACAGTTAAAACAGTATAAAGTAATAAGATAGATTACTCATACATTGCTTTTGTATTAATATTATATACAATCAATCAATCAATCAATTCTGCAGTCTCTGACCCATTAAAATACATACATGTAATATTTAAAATAGATGGAAACAATTAAAACATTTCAAAACAGCTAAAAGAATAAAATTGATAAAATAGATTACCCATATATTTATTTTATTTATTCATTCATTTTATATCCCGCCTATCTGGTCAGTCATGACCACTCTATACACCCTTATCTGAAACTTTTGCCTATAGGGGACAATTCTCTCTCTCCGTATTCTGTCTTAAGAGTAGCTTCTTTTCCCCAATACAGGTTAAGCACCAGAACAATCAAGTGCTGATTATTTTTTTAGAATAATCCATAGCTTTTCATGATCCACACAATCAAAAGCTTTACTGTAGTCTACAAAGCATTGATTGATCTTCTGAAACTCTTTGGTGCCTGTAGATATAGTGGTACCTCGACTTACGAACTTAATCCGTTTTGGAGAGGCGTTCGTACGTCAAAATGTTTGTGAGTTGAAGTACCATTTCCTATTGAAATGCATGGGAATGGACTTAATCCGTTCCAGCATTTCAAAAAAAAAAACCTAAATAAAAATAAAAAATAAACAGAGCAAGTCCCACGCTGGGACTGCAAAAACAAAACAAACAAACAAACAAAAACACACAGAAAAACCCCACAGAAACATACCTCCCCAGTCCAAACCCACCCTCCAAACCCCACCCAGAACAGGTTTTTTAAAGGGACTTACCAGTCCGAAGCCTCTCGGTGCTCCGCTGCCACAGCTGGGGGCAAGCGGCCAAGCTCAAGCCTCCCGGCGATGGGTGACTGCTGCCTCTAATCGCGGTGGTGGAGGACCCCCAGGAGGTCTCCAATGGCAGCGGGGAAGCTCCCAGGGCTTCTCCGCCGCCATCGGAGACCTCCCGGGGGCCCTATGCCACCACAATCTGCGCCCTCAGGCTTTCCCAGGGAGTAGAGCGGGCCTACCAGGGGAAGCCCTCCTGAGGTCTTCCCCCGATAGGCTCGGTTTACTCCCAGGGAAAGCCTGAAGGCACCAATTGTGGTAGCAGGGGACCCCTGGGAGGTCTCAGATGGCGGCGGAGAATTGGGATCTTAAACCCAATTTGAAAAAAAATTTCTTATTCTCACTGACATAAATCATAAAACCCTCATTTTCCACATCTTCCTCAATTCTTCATCATTTATTCTTTTTCCTAAGTCTTGTTCCCACACTAACTTCTTTCCCACACTAATCCTTCTTTCTCAGTCTCTTCTTCTTTATCTAGATCAAGCAGGAATCTATAAATTTTATTCACTGCACCCTTTACTGAATCAGTCATCTGAATATCGTCACATGATAATAGAAATTGTTCATACTTCATATATTCTCTACCTTTATTATACCTCTTTACCCATTCATTAGTCCAGCTTTCTAATTGCATATAATTCAACCATGATATATTCTTATTTTGAAGGATTTGTTTCATTTGATCTTTCAATCTCATTTTATACAACCAGTCTTTTCATCTAATCACTTTTTTTCTTTAAATAATTCTGCATACACATATTGCATATACATATTGGCAGGAAAATTATCTACTTCAGTCACTAATCCTAATGGAGAGTTAAACGGACATAAATTCTTTCTATTCTTGTATCAGATATTTAACATAGTCTTTAAAAAGTGTTATTAATTTTGCTTATTTTATATTTCTTGATCATACCAAATAGATGTTTTTCAATATCAACCTGTAATTCTGATGATTCCATTTTCCATATAACTGGGTTATATATAATTTCCCTAATTAACCTCAACTGATTAGCCAAATAATAATTTTTTATATTTGGTATGCCTATACCTCCTTTTTTGTTGTTTTATACCATACTTTTTATTTATTCTGGCTTTCTTCCCTTCATTGCATTATTTGTTAATCTTTCCTTGCCAAAATTTAAAATCATCTTCTGTTAACTCTATTGGTAATATTCTAAATAAAAAATTAATTTTTATCAGTGTGATCCTTCCAAACCAAGAAAGTTTTAAGTTAGTATATTCCTGTAGTTTCTTTTTAATATCTCCTTTTAATTTATTATAATTATGATCCTTTATTTTTGAGTATCTTTTACTAAATCTATACCTAAATCTTTAACTGATTTACATATCTTAAAATCATATTTATCAACAAACTTTTCTTGTTCTAAATTATTATGATTATACCACATTATTTCAGATTTTTGCCAATTTACACGTAATCCAGTTATTTTTCCACATTTTTCTAAATGAATTTTAATTCTATCTATACTTTCTAATGGGTTTTTCACTGTCAATAGGGAACCATCAGCAAATAAAGTAATCTTTATTTTATTATTTTCACCCATACCTTCTTTATTTTTCTTTTGTTTTTCCTGATAATGCTAACACAGACTGACATGGCTCCCTCTTCTAAAAATGCAAATTTAGAATTTCACCTTGTAACTCCTATTTTTCTTCACTCCCGTAGGTGAAAAACACCCTGGCTTTGAAATGAATTACAGCCCTGGCTTTGCCTATGAGAAGGAGAGGGATGTCATGATACAAGGATGCATGATGGATCAGACCATTAACAATGCCATTGGCTATCTTAATTCAGATGCTCTCCGCTCAGTTGCGCAGACCCCAACAGCCCCAACGTCTGAGATGGTCCCTGTGATCAGCAGCCTGTATCCCCTTGCACTTACCCGCCCTGAAGTGCCTAATGGCAACCCCCAGGAAGTGGAAAAGAGCCACACTCAGATGAGGGACAAGACTTTATCTTCTGACAGAGGTCTTTCTCCAAACAACAGTGGCCAGGATTCCACAGACTCAGACAGTAACCAAGAAGAGCACCAAAATCATTCCTATCATCAGAACCAAATGGCCCTTCATCCTTTGCAAGCCCGGAATGGGCTTCTAGCCTTCAAGGAACATCCTAGGGCTTATGAGCTCTTCAGGCCACCAACTATTTGTCCCCGTGATGTCTTGAAAGTCTTCAACAAGGATGGTGAACCCATTAGGGTCTACCGATGTGACCACTGTTGTGTCCTTTTTTTGGATTATGTCATGTTCACCATCCACATGGGGTGCCACGGCTTCCGTGATCCTTTTGAATGTAATATGTGTGGCCACAGGAGTCATGACAAATATGAGTTCTCCTCCCACATAGTGCGTGGTGAGCACAGAATGGGACTGAAATGAAAGTGGAAGGCCTCTATAATTTTCTGGAAAATGAAGAGCACAGCTATATTATAAAATTGTTCCTGTTTGAAACCAATTTAAGTGTTGTGCCTTCTCCCAAACAAACCGGGATTATAGCTTTGTAAGAACTCTGTCAGGTTCTTAACATTCTTTACCTTTACCTTTACCGAACTACTGCTCCCAGCTGAGAATGAACCGATTTAAACAAGGATACGTTATGGATCAAACCATCAGCAATGCCTTGGTGCAGATATTTTGCATCTGTCATGTAGTCAGACATGAAAGGATCTGCATTTTATAAAGAAAATAGAGAATTTGCTTCAATCTTGTTTCTGTATCAGCTGTACATGTGTTAGACTCTTATCTACACTGCACTCGAAAACTCGGAGCTTATCCAGATGGAGTAAAAGATCTGTCCCAGTTGATCATGCTTGGTCCCATTTGAGACAGCTATGTTTCTGCCTAGCGTACTGGTTCTTCCTGGTCAGCCATTTAGGGTGTCTAGTTTATGTCCTCAAGGAGCACTCCTCTCCATTCTCCCCTTCTAAAAGAAGCAGTAGGCAACGACAAGTAAGACTGTGATAAATTGGGATGAATCTGAAGGAGCTCAGTAAGGTCTGCATTGGACCAGTTGTAAGTAGGTTATGGGTGGTGCTGAGATGTAATGGAATTTTCAGGTCCCAGTAGCAGTTAGCTGACAAAACTCTGTTATATTGGCTGGAAGAGAGTTATCTTAAGTGCCTGTTGCTATAGAAAAGTAAATGCACATGTTGTCTATGAGTACATGTCAAAGACAAAAATACTTTTTTATAAGATATTTGTCCTGTATTAATAACACAGCTATAGTTTTAATGAGATATGTATATATGTAAAAAGTCACAGTTGATGCTATTACACTGCTTTTTGCAATTAACCTTTAGTATTTTCACAAGGAGATAGTGATGTAGCCTGAGGGATTGTGTTTTTCTCACAAATACCTGGTATTTTCACAAGGAGATAGTGATGTAGCCCGAGGGATTGTGTTTTTCTCAGGTATGTTTCAAGTTCCACTTTTTAAATATTCAGCTTGAATCTAGAGCTTTTACTTTAACAGATTTATGGAACAGCACACAGGCAATATTGTACCCGGTTGCTCATGGGGCACCACCGCATAAAACGTAAAAGACTGTGTTTGCATTTTGACAATTTTGTAATCATTCCCTGCAACTTAGGGTGCAGTCGACAGCTGCAAAGGCACATGCCTGATAGCACCAGAAAGGGACTTCTTTAACAGGAGCGATCTTCCTTAAAAACAATCCTTCCATCTGCTGGAGAGTTCCTCCAGCCTTCTCCCAAAAAGTTGAAACCCTACAGCTGAACCAAAAAGGTCCAGCCTGGGCACAAAATTAAGGTCAGGCTGGACTGCATTTTCCTGTGCATTGTATGATCATTGGGAAATAGATTGCATCAAATCCCTAGACTTGAGAATGGACTCTCAAACCTTAATGAACCACGGTCGCCTCAGTTAAAATCTTCCTCTCCTGATATCTAAAATTTTACCCCTAGGCTAATTGACGCACAGTATCCTGAGTGTTGATAGCTTTCATCTGGCATCCATTTGTTCAGCTGTTACTGCAATCATGTCACATTTTATTTTACAGTTCTTAGCAGTGCCAAACCCACAGTACTCTTCTCCCCAATTAAAGGTAGACTCAAAGAATCAAAGAGAAAATCCTTGCCTACCACTTACACTGGAGACATAGGCAGCATGATAAAGTCATTGTTGCCCATTGTGTGCCTTGTTTATTGTCTGCCTAACTCATGTCATAGGACTGCTCAAAACATGTTGTGCACATTTTTTAACTATCGGCAATGATATTCTACTGCACTGCTTCCCAAACTGTGCCAGTTATTCATTATTAACCCCAAACCAGCTCTTGTCTGGTAGGCTTGCCTCTGCACAGCAATTACTTCTTGGTGCAGAAAGAACAAGGGACAGGTGACCTATGATACTTCCAGACAGGACTTTTGCTGTACAGTCATCTCATTCATGGAGCATTTTCCCACTACTTTCTCTCCCCACAGAGCATTGATGAAGGAGGGAATGATGGAATAACTTCCCTATATCTTTTGATTGATTATGCTAAGAGCATTCCCATTACCAAGCATCCATAGTTCATGTATGAGCGTGGGTTCTTATGGAACCTTTTTACTTTTAGATGGGAGGAAAGTTCTAAGCAACAAGGTCCTGCTTAGGGACAAGAATATGAGCAAGTGTTAAGCCAAAGTACTAAAGATGTGGTTCTTATTTTAAAAGAGAGTGAATGCACTGTAGCACACAGGTTTCTCCAGTGGCACCTTCTGATTTTCTATGGTACTAAAAGCAGCTTCTGAAGCACAGCTGTGAGAATGATTGCCTTAACCAGATCAGGAATCAGGAGAACATGGATGTTTAAAGGCCTGGACGGGAGTACACAAAGAACCTCTCAAAGTGGCTCTTCAGAACTTTATCAGAAGCCAATGCAATGGCATGTTAATGCTTTGAAAATAGGCTTCTGCATTTCTTCTGTAGTTGTCTTTCCAAGTTACACAGTGATGAAAATGTTATGCCATTTTGCTGATGTGTTTATTTTTACAAAGGCTTTTCTACAATATAAAATAGCAGATTTATTTTTAATACAACATGCTTTTCTGTATCCAAGACTCTCTTATGTTTCACTTCATTTTTTTCCACCCAGACATTAAAGGCTAATGAGGAGGGGGGCACTGTTTGTGAACCAAACAGGAACGTAGCAAGCATCCTTCCTTAACTAGTGTCCATGTGGATTTACTATATGTAAAGTACCAGGTGAACACTAGATTACACCCAACACACAACCTTATGTGATACTACATAATTCCCCTGGCTTCTGCCTTTTGTTTGGGCCTGCTGGTTCTGCAGTTAGGAACACAGGAAGTGGCTTACACTAATTATTGATCTATCTAACCTGATATTGACCTACATAGTGTGGTCTAGCAGCAGACTAGAATGACAGACTAGATACGACTCAAGAGACCTGCATTTGAATCCCTGCTCAGCCACAGAAGCTTACTGGGGGTACAATAATTAAAACCACTCCTTAAATATTTATCTTGAAAAGCCCTATTAGAGTCACTATCTGTTCTGACTTGATGGCACATAACACTGACTGTGGTTCGCAGTGGCTCTCTGTGTTTGAGGCAGGAGCCAGCTCAACCCGGAGATTCCTATTCAGCAACAAAGCAGGCCTAATCGTGCTTAACTTCCAGTATCAGAAAAGGTTGTTGTGTATACAGATGCATGGTAGTAGTTCTTCAGGTTAGCGAATGGACACTAAGAAGCTAAAGATGGAGATTCTTGGAGGAGCAAACTACACACCTTTTATTTGTTCACATTGCTACGTATTTCCTTTGAGAATTTGGTATGGGTTCTTTTAGTACATAAAAACGCCGCAGGATGCTGCAACATGAATCAGAATTTCCAGGAGGGAGCATTTATCTTTTTCTATGTGGGCCCTTGTCTTCCTCTTATTCTGCTGAAACATTTTTTTTGTGGCAAGAAAAGCAGCTTGGAGGTGCTAACCTGGATAAAGAGAACCAGCCCACAGGAATGAGAAAAGCAGCATTTCTAGCACCCCACACAAACTTCCGTCTGCACACACTTCAGGGAAAACATCCACGTAATTAAGAGTGTCACACATAGTTACACGACAGGCCTACCTAAAGTTAAGTTTTAAAGCAAGATTTGTGCACTGACATTCACATCACTGCATTCACTGGAATTGCCACCACTCCAGCCCATCCTGAAAACAGCAGGTGTTCTAGGTGGAAAGCAGGACTAACTCAGGATCTTTTCAAAAATTGGTAGGAGAAGTTCAGAGTGAGCCTTTCCTATCTTGGGCTGCAGGTTATGCAGTTAAAAAAAAGCATCAGGTTTTATCCCCCAGGCTGAAAGTTATTCATCCATTCATCCATGTGTGAATGGAGATGGTTGGTGCTGCTGCAGAACTCACTGTTTTAGGACAATCCACAATTCCCTGCACACTTTCAAGCCTAAAGAATGAGAAACCTACCTTTTTGAAAAGGATGAAATGACAAATAAAATTCTCCGGATGCTGAAACCTGCACTCAACATTGAGGGGTTGTAACATCCAAAGGAAATGAAGGGCAAAATCCCCTACCAAGGAGATGTCGCATTCATACATTTCCATCAAAAAGGAACAAATTCCATCTCCATTCACTTAAACTTGTTTCCCTCAAGCACCTCTTTCCAGTGTTAGCTACTCACTGCAACAGAGTAAATACCTGGCCAGAGAAGAGCAGCTGAAAGAAGATCCAAAGCACAATCCATTTCTTGTTGGTTGTCGGTTTGTTCTCCATCCCAAGTGCAAAATGTGCTACTGTCTTGCCTCAAGCACAAAATGTGATTTGATTTCAGAACATACACGAGACTTGCTAGATGAGGCCATGGCTAGTCAAATACCCTAGGAAGCCTATAAGAAGGACCAAGAGATTATGACATTTCCCTGTTGTTCATCCCCAGCCACTGGTATTCAGAGATGGATTGCTTCTGGGTGTTCAGATTGCATCAGCATGACACATATCCACTTAGAAGACCTATCCAGAGCTTAAAGGAGTCCCTTGTTTGGACTAACAATCCCCACAGTCCCACAGCCATCATGTTGAGGGACAAAGTTCACAATATAGTTAGCACATCATTTGAAGCAGTGCTTCTGTAAGTAGTGAAAGGTATCTGATTGTCGTAGCACATGTTTTCCACTTAACTCTGCCCATAGCCTGCATTCCAAAAAACTTTGTTTGGCCCTTGGAAGGTAAACACAGATGTAATTTTCAAGTCTGACTATTGAAACTTTTATCTCCAAGGAAACCACATGTCCTAAACATTGAATCTGACCCTGAGGCTTGTAGTTCAAAAAAGTAACTTTCGCAAATTCTTTTCTTCCATGAATTTGCCTGATTATCTGTTAAAGCCATCAGGTCTCCTGAAGAAAAATGCAAATTAGGTAGGTTTTGTGCAGAGGCTGCAAGTACAAATATGTGAGAGCGGAATTAAATATATCACTGCTCACTTTGTTCATACAGCTATCCCAGCCTGCTCCAGATGCTTAGAACCACAAACTCCACTAGTCCTGATTGATTAGAAATGTTAGTTGGTACTGTTGGGACTTGTAGTCCAAAGGAGATGGACAGCACTAGACAGAGGAAAATTGTTCGTTTATTGCATTTCTGTGCCATCTTTCTTCCAGCAGTGGGGATCAAGACAAATCATCTTTTAAAAGACAAGAATTAAAAAGAACATACAGTACAAACAGCAATTAAAAACTATTTAACATGGAATCATTAAGATCATCATATAGAAACAAAGTAAAGAATATAAAATGGAGAACATAGGGGAAGTACTGTAGTAATTTTAAAAACAGATACTAAATGCCAATATTTGCCACTGAAAAGAGAAAGGAGATGGGCGTCAACTTCATCTCACATCATCTTGCATCACCTGGGGGCATCCATCAAGTAGATCTCTTTGGTGTCCGGCAAACATACCTGTAAAGGTGATCAGACAAAGAGAAAACCTCTTAAAACCTGAGGAGGTTTATATGGGGGTCCCCCGGTTAGCCTGGACCCAAGCCAAATATGGCTTTATAGGTTATAAACAGCAATGAATTGAGCTTGGAAAGGGATGAGTAGCCATTGAAGCTACTGTAAGAGAAGTTTTTTATGATCTCTGTAACCAACCTCGGTCAACACTCTGGTTGCAGTATTTTATACCAACTGACGTTTCCAAACCATCTTCAAAGGCAGCCCCACACAGAGTGCATTGAAGTAATCCAACCGAGATGTAACTAAGGTATGTGGCACTGTAGCCAAACTGGACATTTCAAGGAATGGGTACAGCAAATGCATTAGCTTTAACTGTGCAAAGTCACTCCTGGCCACTGCTGCCAACGCCTAGGCCTCCAG